ACCCCACCTTGATGTTTCGAGACCCCACTTTGGGTCCCGACCCCAACTTTGGGAAACACTGCCCTATATGATATATTTAACTGATTTTTTAAAAATCCAAACAATCAATGATTTATGAAGATAAATCAAGAAAATTAACAAGGCTGCCCAAACTTACGCACCRCACTGTAGATAGCTTATCCCCACAGTTCAGCTGCCTCTGAACCACAATGGACCATCACAATGTCCACAATACTGAATATGCTGCACTGAACCATCTGTAGATCATGTCCCATTATTCTCTCACTTGTGAACAAAACTCAGAGATACTTAAASTCCTCCARTGTCTCTACTGTGCCACATTTTAGAATACTGTTGATCTTGTTTGACAAGATTTGAAAAGAATTGTTGCAAAGGCTATATGTTAGTGTTGGTCTGTAATACACGTATAAGGTATACCCTACCAATGAATCCAAAAATAGCAACATAAGAACATATTCTTGATGTCATAAATTTAATGCATTAAGACATTGTCACAAGTCTTTCTAGAGAGATGYTAAGACCGTTGATGGTATAATTTGAGGACAATACTAATATTATAGCATATCAGCTTCTTGAAGGGTGTCACATTTTGTAGTGTTGTTTTTTTTACTTTAAAGTAAGAGCCATGAGGTATAGATAGAAACAAAAGGAACAATAGAAAAATAGAAAATTGGATTTAGCCAAACAGTGACTCCTCATTCTGAAAACTTAATAAAATAAAGTTTGTTATTTTTTGTTTGTTGCACCAGGCCCACTGAAAAGACAATCTTCATCATCTTCATGCTTGTGGTAGCATGCATCTCCTTGGTCCTCAATCTGCTGGAGATCTACCACCTGGGCTGGAAGAAAGTCAAGCAGGGGGTCACCAAAGAGTTTGTTCATGACAGTCAGTCGCTGCTGGGTGATAAACCTAGAGAGACAGAATTCATTCCTGAACAGACGTCTCCGTCGGTGCTCGAATCTTTGCCAGTCTATGCCAACGTGAGTGTGGTGGAAGATGAAGAAACTGAGGGAGGAGCTTACAGTCAACCTGGGACCTCTCACACAGTGATCTCCTTAAACCATGACARGGCCTCCGCACCTATGCCTGCAGGATCTACATCGGATCGTGCTGCGTTCCACCAAGAAGACTTCCTGTTGGAGACTTCGTTTTACGACAACAGTGAGAGTTTGGGAAGCCATGGACATCTGGCAGAGATAGAACAGAACTGGTACAACACGGCTTTGGAGCTGGATGGAAAACGTTCTTCCTCATATACCCCTCCTCTTGCCTCCGGCTCCTCATCTCCTGAGAACGATACAGCACCTTCAAAAGAAAAGCAACTCTCCATGTTTCCAACGCTCCCTCTCAATACCCCTCTTTCCTCTCTCGCACCAGAGGAGAAAAAATTGGAAGAGGAAATCCCGGTCGCATCAGCACTTTGCACGGTGCCACAGGATGACTTCACAGTCGTAACCAGGGCAGAGATGCATCAGCCTCCCACAGATGCAGGAACAGACTTTAGGAAGCCAAGTCGGGGAATGAAGAGTGGCGGTGCTCGAGCTCGTCCTGATGATCTGGCAGTGTAGCTAAAAAGCAAAAACTCAAAACACTGACATGATAATGTATACATGCTCTTTAAGAGATGCTTTATGAACAGTAGCGTAAAATTACACCCCATGTTCTGCAATGCAAGACTGGTCTTTTGCTACAAGAAGCACAAGACGTCYTGAAAAAAACAATAATTTCAGAGTTGGATTAGAAGACCAACATCATACTTACATTCGTGTGATAACAGATGTGAAGAATCAAGACCTTGATCTTAGCATGGTTGCAGGAAACAATGAAACAGCTAACCCAAGTCACTTTAAAGCTCAGTAGCTAAAACTTTCACCAACAGTTTGCAAAGACGGAACAACCTAATTTTCAACAAGGATTGCCAGTYCTACCCTGGCCCATCCATTTCCTCCTGGTTAATGTCCTAAATAAAGACTTTTATCAACTTTGGCTCCAGTTGCCATTGTTAGAAACATCAAAGTACAAATGCTAGTTTTAGAGACTCTTTCACTCGGGGGACTGCAAGAATGGACACAGCTGACTTGTTTTTTAACAGAAGAACYCATTAACAAATTGGAACTTGATGATTGAGGCCAGCTGTAAGTGGATAYCATAACACTGGATCCTGCAGGTTGTGGTGTACCACAGTTTTTAATTGAATCTTTCTGACATTGTAACATTTTTATTCTGTAAATCTAGATCGCTAAAGTCCCTGTGAATTAGCACTAGTTTCTAAGAAACAGCTACATCATGTTTACTAAGTAGCTTACGTTTAAAAATGTTTACCATCCTAGTTCTAAACAAATCAACYAAATTAAACTATTGCTAATAAATGAGCTGTATTAATTTGTCCTTTTTAGGAAATGTAGTTGCTGTTTTGAAGCTAGCTGAAACAAGTTTTTCCTGCTCTTTCCAGCCTGCTAGGTGATAGCAAGCCTTGATGTTTACTGTTAGCATTTATGCTAAGCTAAACAATCCGTTTATTTTTGTAGTTAACACTCGAACATGTGAATGACATTTATCTAACACTCAGCAAAAATGCAGATCGTTCATTTAAAGAAGTATAAATATTATCAATCTTTTCAAAAGATTAGCAACAAGGCTTGATTGAGAAGCTTAAAAGCTTAAATGACCCATCTCAAGACGCTTAAAGGGATCTCTGACTAGTTGTAACAATAGACTTTATTTGATAAACACTTACTTTGGTTGTAAAAAACCAAGTATTGTAAGATGTTCAGTTAAAAATAAACATCAAACTAATGCCTCACAAACGTCGCCCTTTTGTTTACACTGCTAAGGATTCTGGGTAAATGATGTAAACTGGTGGCTCCGAGCAAGGCTGGACTGGGACCAAAAAACGGCCCGGGCATTTTTTGGTCATGGCGGCCCACCATCATTATTTATACAATATACGAATACCAGAGGGTGTGTTGCATAATGTGTTGTTTCACAAGMTAAAGTGCAGGAGCCTACAAGGAAGAGAGTAACCATGTTTAAAAAGACTTGATGAGCTCTCCACTCGGAGACTTTCAGTAATGTTCATGAGGTTCTGATGCTCAGTCAGTGATCATCAGAGAGACTGTAGAGAACAGATCAGACAACTGCTAAACTTAAAGTTTTCAGAGTCACAAATGAAACTAAACTAAAACTTCCACCTTCCTAAAAGTCAGATGTAGAGTACTGATTCACATCTAAAGGTTTCATTTTTAAATTTAATAT